TAAATAGAAAGAAGGCTCGTTTGAATTGGTTCCGCTGAGTCAGAGCTGCTTCTAAGATCAAGACTTTGTATGAGGTGTACTATTTTCTTTGTGTTTAGACCTCAAGGGGTCACCTAAAGGACATATTGTGTTGAACGTATACATGTTACGGTGAAGGTCTACTCAAGCCCCCCCCCCCCACCCCACGGGTCGTAAAATAGGTCTTTGGATATTGAACTTGTTGTTTTGCTTTCTCCCTCTCTCTCTCTTTCTCTCTCTCATACTCTCTCTTTCTCCCTCTCTCTCTCTCTCACTCTCTCTCTCTCTCTCTCTCTCTCTCTCTCTCTCCCATAATTTCTCTCTTTCTTTCTCTCTCTCTCTCTATCTCCCATAATCTCTCTCTTTCTTTCTTTCTTTCTTTCTCTCTCTCTCTCTCTCTCTCTCTCTCTCTCTCTCTCTCTCTCTCTCTCTCTCTCTCTCCCACACACACAAACACACGCACACACACAGTACTTTTGTAAATATGAATATACATTATGTATACGTATCTTATATATTATGTGACGTATATCAACAATTACGTAGGATAAGTCGTATTCGGGTCAGCATATAATATGGATTCAAATGGCCAAAATTCTTGAAAAATCCTCCGGTACGGCACACCCCGCCCGTGGCATAGAAGAAACATAATACTAGTAAAGTAATCGCACGATGAGATCAGGGTTTTCAGTAAGAACTGACAGAAACTTTATTCTTGTGGGTGGTTGGCGGGTGCTCTGGTGTGGTTTGCTCCTTCTTATCTATCAAACATCTGTCGTCCTCATCTCCCCTCCTTTTTTGCGTTTGTTACTCTCTTGTAACACCTCTAATCTTCTGACGCTCATATGACCTTATGCAGTTGCGAACGCCGTAAAAACTCCACCTAAACTAAAACACATAATAAACAGTATTTTTTATAAATCTTAATATTATACACGTATAGGTACATTATCATGTGATAGAATATATCAACACTTGCATAATAAATGACGTCCAAAACTTTAACGATATGGCGGAGGGGAGCAGTGAGGGGAGCAGAGGCTAAAACAGCACCTGGACATGGATGGCTGTTGCCTCTATAAATAAATCATTGATGGTCTGGTCTGATATGGTGGACCAAACGGCATAGAAGACTATAACAATAGTAAAGTTATCGCACGATGAGATCAGGTTTCTCAGTAAGAACTGACAGAAACTTAATTCTTTACCCCCCCTCCCCTCCCTCCCCTCCCCGGCCTCCTTTCTCCATACTTAAAATACGTTAAAAGTGTATTCTTTGTATAACTCTACAGTGACCCACGAGTGACCTCATAGGAATGGAGACGCCATGTTTACGTAGTAGGTCGTGCACGTTTCCGAATGCAGTGATGAAATAGAATATACTGTTTATTTACTTTAAAAAAATAATGCACAGTAGAATTGTAAACGGGCTGTTCCAACAATGCCACGCTCATAACTGTGTCTGAACTACAACAGGGAACTGCTGCTTTTTCTTTCCTAATCCTTACTATCATAATTTTCCTCAACTTCTTTTGTATGCTTGTGACCTGCTTTTCCCGGGTTGCCTTGATAGTCGAAGCAGACTTTGTGCTGTTGAAGCTAGTGAGGGGAGCAGAGTAAGTCTGATTCCCTGTAAGGATTTCTCTGTTGACATCCACTCCTTGGCGCTCATGTGACCTTCTGCAGTTGCGAGCGCCGTAACACCTCTATTTAAAAAAAAACACACAGAAAAACCCCCCAACAGCATCCAGTCCTAAGTCCTTAAATTCATGCAGTTTCCCCGGACTAGGAACGATTTAATATGCAGCCCCACGCCCGTCGTTGCTGTACATTTTTTAAAGGTTTCAAATCATCTCAGAGAAAGGTGATGCTCTTGCTGGTGAAGCATACGAGGAGTTTCTCCAGTGGTGATAAGGATATCTTTGTGTCTCACTAGGGGATTCTTAGACTGGAGGAAGAAACAAGAAGTGGTTCTTAAATAGTGGTGTCGAAAATCAAAGAAAGGTAATAATGATGATGATGATGATGATGATGTTGATGATGGTGGTGATATGATGATGATAATGATGATGATTATAATAATAATTATAATAATGATAACAAAAATCTAGTAATAATGATAATAATAGTAATAATAGTAATAATTTTATAATAATAATAATAATAATAATAATAATAATGATAATAATAATAAATAATGATGATAATAATAATAATAATAATAATAATAATAATAATAATAATAATAATAATAATAATGATGATGATGATAATGATAACAGTGCCACTGAATTCTCTTCACTCATCATAACCTACCCCCCTCCCCTGCCATTTCTAAGACAAAAAACGCATCCAAGGTGTATGCCATAATATACTACATCTTCGTCATAATTATCGTTAGTAACACCCCCCCCCCCCCACAAAATAAATAACTAAATAAAAGAACAAATGAATGAATTTATTTTACTTTACTTTTATCTACCGCATATAACCCTTGTGGGTGTCGCGGGAAGAAAGAGACGTCGCTCTGTCGCCAGCCGGAGGGCTTGGGCCAGGGGGATGGCATGGGCGGTTAATGTTTCCCGGACTCCATCTATCCAGATCTTTCTCGGTCGCCCTCTAGCCTTGTTGCCTTCGGATTTTTGGATGTGGGCACGTTGTGCTGGATGGTGTGTTGGTAATCGTAGGAGAAGTCCAAACCATTTGATTCTCTGGTGTTAGATGTGATGCATGACATCATTTGTGCCCACCATTTCTCGGATTACTGAGTTTCTAATTTTGTCTCGCCTGGTCTTGTTTACTGCTTTTCTAAGACATCTCATTTCACATGTTGTAATTCTTTGCTCCAATGTCTTGTTCGTGGTCCATGTTTGGCATTGATAAGTGAGTGTTGGGATGAATATGGTGTTGATCATTTTGAGTTTTGTTGTCATGGGGATGTTAGGATGTTTCAGTAGTGAAGTAAACTGGTAACTAACATTATTGGCCTTTTGTACTCGTGTTTCAATTTCTCTGTTCAGTCGCCCATCCTCTGTGAATATACTTACGAGGTACTTAAATTCTTGGACCTGTCTGACACTGTTGTTGTTGATGATGTGTATCCTGAGTGGTTCTACCTTTCTACTTACTTTCATTGTCTCTGGGGGGTTTTTTTTTTCATGTTGATCTTAATGTCGTAGTTGTTACATTCTTCGTTTAATCAATGAATAAAAAAATAAATATATAAATAAATAAATTTAAAAATAAATAAATAAATAAATAAATAAATAAATAAGTAAATTTAGATAACGTGCACACTAGCCTGTGAATTGTTTTTGCCTTTCTAGACCCCACAAAAATCAACGTATGTAATAACAATTTTTTTCCGTAAGTTCAGATAATAAAACGTCTCAAAGGTCTCTAAGTTGTATAATATAACAACTGAGAAGTCAAAGAATGTCTGAGGAAGAAAAAATAAACAGATGAGGAAATGTTAAATCTGGTAATCATTGTTACTTATTCTAAGAACACAACCAAGAACAAACTATTGAAATTGCTTTTGTCGTATGAAACATAATTATTACGATGACGACAAAAACCCGGATATTGTTGTTCTGTAAAAAAAATGTAGGGTAGAGAAATCACAGAATGGGGTAAAAAACAACAACATTTATTGACAATCTGAGCGCTCTAAACAGCCATGAAACCGACAGGAAAATGCTGACAAGCGGACATTGTATAACTAATTGGCAACATGAAAAGCCCGGCTGTCTGTGATCGCCGACATTATTTTGTTTCCAGCCTGACACCCATTCACGAAGGAAAATACAATAGACCTCGGAAATCTTATATCAGAAAATCTGATCTCCAGACTTATGAACAGGCACTCTAAGAAGCTGCTGTCAGTGCAGAGGTTTTCTGTTTCTTTTCCTCAGCGATCTTTTAAGCTTCAGCTTTTAACATATTGTCGGTGTCCAACTCTTTCCGTGTATCCCTCCAATTTCTCAAACAATTTCTTTTCACTCAAATCATGTTATTCAAAACCATTTCAAAGATTAGTAGGTGACACTATGATATTATGCAAAAATGAATGCACGACACATATTATTTGGGCATTTTGGGTAGGTAATAAAGCTTTAAAAAATATTGAGGTAGTTTGTCACTTTTCTGAAAATCGATGTTCAAGCACATATTACGTAGCCTATAGACTCTACCATTGATGATTATAGATCTACATGTATAAGCACACATGCCGGAAGGCTTGGGTATCAATTGGGAACGCAAGAGGTGCCAGGCGGGGTTAACTGATTTAATCTTCGAACATAAAAATCGCGATAGCATGTTAGGAAATATCATTGGTTACATTGATCACAATGATACCCAGAGGTTTATTTGAGTCTTTGCTTTGAACGACTTTCATGACCCCTGCGAAGCTTTGTAGATCACACGAAGCGTAATGGGATACACTCTATAATTGTTTCAAATGATTTAGTTCGTCTGTGCAATGGTTTGAAAGGCGATGATAAAAGCTGTTACAATTTACTTTATTAAGTGATTATTTACAATCCAAATCGCAGACAAAAAGCGTCAAACAATACTGTTTAAAAAATACTTCAAGGAGGTATAAATGATTACTTTGAACTTATTGCACTACATTACGGACTGCTTGTGTATGCTACTGATACTCTTTAATCAACATTTGATTTCTTGAGACGACGTGGATTCTATAATAACTTTGTTTATGCTCTTGATGGTACGTGTACGTATCCAGCCCTACCATTCAATGGGGATCCGGGTACATTCACATCCTGTATAAATCTGTTAATATAAAGACATGAAATGCTTCACTGCGAAGCAATGACTTGCGTTATCCACTCGACTCGCATCGTTGACAAAGCCTTTTCATGAAAGTTAAATAATATTATTGCGAAAGATTTGCTCTACAATTCGCATCCTTGTCAACGTGAGGGGGAAATGATCTTACAGCGTGATTTCTTCCACAGTTTGTTTCTTGACACTGCGCTTATTCACTTGAGTAACCTTCAACGTATTCCCCACAACATTCGGAGGATCCAAGGTAAGGTTTATAATTTTGTGTTGTCGTGTCCGTGTTCAGTCATGTCCAGACTAAAATACAGTCGAAATTGTATAAGACGGTCCCCCATTGTCGAGGACAAAAATGGTCGTCTTGGACAGGTGGGCGTCTTATACCGTGTCATTTATAAAGTAAAAGTAAATATGCACAGTAGTAAGGGGGAAATAGTTGTTAGTACAGGTGGCCGTTAGAGCAAGTTTGACTCATTTATATCACACTACACGTATATTAAAGTCTTACACATCCAGAATACTATATGTTCCTATCATTTTATTTAAAGTGCAAAATTAAACTCCACACAGGTAAATTGAAGTCATAGATGGAAGACTTTCACTTCCTCCTTGTTGTTGTTGTTGTTGTTGTTGCTGTTGTTGTTGTTGCTGTTGTTGTTGTTGTTGCTGTTGTTGTTGTTGTTGTTGCTGTTGTTGTTGTTGTTGCTGCTGTTATTATTATTGTTGCTGTTGTTGTGTGTGGTAGCCTTTCCTTCCGAATTGTTAGGACCCCCGAAGAGCGAGCTCTTCGCCAGGGCCACCGTCTCTCTTTGGTAGCGGGTGAGGCAGTCCAACCTCCCTGAATCCTCCCCAAAGAGATGCCACCGCCGGACCTCCGCAGCGGGGCATCTCTGCAGCCAAGGGTCCAAATCATGGGGCTGCGGCTCCTCGCTGCACAATGGACAGATTGGGTGCGATGTGTTGTCTGTTCTATGTTTGTAGGCCTGCCGCCCAAAGAAGTGACCAGTCCTGATTTTTTCCAATAGTGACTGTTCGTCGTTGTTGTTGGTGCTATCATGCTATTAATATCATAGACTAGTATCAATATTATTTTTCCTAACAACAACAATAATAATAATAAAAATAATAATAATAATAATAATAATAATAATAATAATAATAATAATAATGTC